TACAGGGAACAGGGATCATTTTAATTTTTAAATTTAATTTAATTTTTCAATTTAATTTTAAACAATAAACTTGGAAAGATGAGTGAGAGAGAACAAAACTTTGTTGCCGCTGCCTCTGGAACTATGTTATTTCAATTTGCATAGCCAATCAGATCCTCGGCGGCCAATGAGAAGCCCTGCTGGGCAAGAGCCATACCTGACCCCACCCAAGTTCCGAACACAGTTGCTGGGTAGGCTTGCCAGTTCCCAGGTCCAGGGTCCTCCCAGTTTTCAGGGCTTCTCACCATCGGCAGCCAACTGGCTGGTGGAGGAAATCCCGCCCCCAAACAGCCACGTCCCCATGTGACTTCCCTGATGTGATGACTTTACCCGGAAGTGACATCATCACACCAGGGACGTCACGGGGGAGACACTCTGATTTAAGGGCAAAACTACAGTTTTAAGCCAGTTTTACCATACACTTTTGCTCTTAAACCAGAGCTTCCGAGCAACGTCATCACATCAGGGATGTCCCGGAACGCACCCCTAATCCCACCGCTGGAGCAACAAGAGGACCTGGCAACCCTACTGGTGAGTGCCAAGAAAGGTATCAGAGGGTGCCATGGTACCCATAAGAACCACGTTGGAGACCCTTCCTTACTAAATTTGTTTACAGAAAGATTCAAGTCGATAGAGTCGGTGGTTCATCGAAGAGATTTTCTCCACTGGATGAGCCAAGCAAAGCAGAACACTGGAACATCAGAAGAGCCCTGCTGGATCAGACCAGTGAGGGTCCAGCCTCCTGTCTCACACAGGGGCCAACCAGCTCCTCTGGAGGGCCAATAACAGGGCAGAGAGGCCGAGGCCTTCCCCTGATGTTGCTTCCTGGCTCTGGGATTCAGAGTAGTACTGCCTCTGAACATGGGGTTTCCCCTCAGTCACCATGGCTGGTAGCCATCGATAGCCTTCTCCTCCATTAATCTATCTAATCCCCTTTCAAAGCTGTTCATTCCTGTGGCAATCACTACATCCTCTGGCCGTGAATCCCACATTTTAATCACTCTCTGTGTAAAGCAGTATTTCCTTTTGTCCATCCTGAACCTACAGCCCGTCTGCTTCACTGGATGCCCTCGAGTTCTAGTATTTTGGGACAGGAAAATGGAGATATCCATGACTCCAGTCATAAAAATTGGAGGTCAAATATAACATTCTATCAGTCTACACCTGTGTTCTACTACTTATGGGGAAGGAGGGAATCCGTTCTCGAGTCATTTTCTTCTCCACAGCAACAGCAGTTAGCTAATCCCATTTGCAAGAAAGGCTTCATCATCTTCTAGCTTGTCAGGGCAAGTCTTGCAACGAGGACTTTCGTGAAGATCATTCCGGAACAGCGGCCATGTTAGTCAGCCGCAGCAAAGTTAAACGAGAGTCCAGTAGCACCTTAAGGACTAACAATAATGCCTGCAGGGTAAACTTTTGTGAGTCATAACAGCTCATTCTGTTGGCTGTATCATGCATCTCGCCAAGTAAGCTCCGACTGACAAAAAATTGTGCTCAGATAAATGTTAGTCTTTAAGGTACTTCTGGATTCCTGTTTAGCTTTGCTACATGAAATTTCCAGTGCAGATGAACTCAGTCTTTAATGGTTAACTGGAGCCAGTTGGCCATCTCAGGCAGCATCTCATTATTTCATGCAATTAGCTGCGATGCCAGAAAGAGCTGTCCTGTTTTCTGAAATCTGCTTTTTGTAAGACGGCTCCTTTAAAATGACCAACTCCTGGTCTAAGCTCTTACAGTGGAGTAACAAACTAACTCTGCTACCGTTCCCTCCCCGATGCTTGAGCATCCAGCCCGTTTCCTGCCCCAGAGTGACGTTGCTCTATTCCCAGGTATTAAAATTTATGTTTTTGGAAAGATTCCAATGGGTAGACGTGTTGGTCTGAAGCAGCAGAACAAAGTCTGAGTCCAGCGGCACCTTGAAGACCAACAAAGTTTCATTCTGGGTATGAGCGTTTCTGTGCAGGCACCCTTCTTCAGATAAGAAAAGTTCAAGGTGCCGCTGGACTCAAACTTTGTTCTGTTTTTGGAAAGTAAAAGCTGAAGACGTGAGAGACCATCACTCACCTTCCGAGGATCTTCTCCAAGAGATCGTAGATAATACTTTTCATCCTCAAAAAAAAAAACAACCCACAAAATTCACTTTGATGAAGAAGAGAAGAGATTGGATTTATACCCCGCCCTTCACTCCCCGAAGGTGTCTCAGAGCGGCTTACACACTTCTTTCCCTTCCCCTCCCCACAACAGACACCCTGTGAGGTAGGTGGGGCTGAGAGAGCTCTGACACAAACTGCTCTTTTTCAAGGACAGCTCTTATCAGAACTATGGCTTGCCCAAGGTCATCCAGCAGGTGCAAGTGGAGGAGTGGGGAATCAAACCCGGTTCTCCCAGATTAGAGTCCGCACACTTAACCACTACACCAAACTGGCCCTAGCAATATAACTGGTCTACAGCACTAACTATCTTGCTAAGTGAATGAAGCATCTACGTTTGGGGGAACTAAAGAGCTTGACAGAAAAACCCGACCAATTCCACCCAGTTTTGCTTGCTTTACCTTTATACCGTTTTTAATTATGAATTGATCACCCAGTATATGATATACGGAAACTCTAGAAATCAAGGGTGCAGGATTATTTAAAGCTATATACCAACCCATCTGGACGTTTAATGAATAATTGTGTGCCACCAAGTTGCAACCGACTCACGGCAACCTCTCGTCGTTTTTTCGAGGAAAAGAGTTGGTTTTGCCATTGCCTGCCTCTGCACACAGCAACCCCGGTCTTACATAAGAGACGCCAATGTTGGATCAGGGAAAGGGAGAAAAGTACCTCTTTCTCTACCTGCTCTTTCCCATGCATAATCTTATAAACCTCAATCATGTCACCCCTCAGTCGTCGTTTCTCCAAGCTAAAGGGCCCTAAGCGCCTTAACCTTTCCTCATAGGGAAAGTGTTCCAACCCTTTTATCATTCGAGTTGCCCTTTTCTGCACTTTTCCCAAAGCTATAATATCCTTTTTAAGGTGTGGTGACCAGAACTGCACACAGTATTCCAAATGAGGTCTCACCATTGATTTATACAGGGGCATTATGATACTGGCTGATCTGTTTTCAATACCCTTCTTAATAATCCCCACCATAGCATTGGCCTTCTTTATTGCAGTCACACACTGTCTTCCTGGGTGGTCTCCCATTCAAGTACTCCCCATGGTTGACCCCGCTTGGCTTCCCAGCTCTGATGAAAACAGGCTAGTCTGGGCTATTCAGGCTGCTCTCTTGAAGTCCGGGGGGCTCATGGAGACCTGGCGCACCTGGCGTCTAGCTATGAGAGGAAACAAGTGGGGCTTTGAAGATAAGTGCTGCTAACAAGCATGAGAGAGAGAGAGATTCTCTTGGGAGAGGCCTGACGCAGCCATCCCCTCACAAAACGCAAGGCAAGCACCAGCCTGTAACAAAGATGGCGTTACCGAGGCTATCCAAATGCCCACTTAACTGGGTCTGAGCTCCACTGAACTCATTGGGATTAACTTTAAAGTAAACACATTTAAGACTGTATTGCACATATAGCTTCATCTGGAAAGTGCTGAACTGGGTTCATTTTTTTTTTTAATCACGCCTACGTTTTCCCTCACAAAAATTTAACTCTCAAGGTAATTTCGGTTATCGGTAGCCCAACTGTATCGTTACCTCAGAAATAAAGTACTCTGCGTGTCTGGCTTCAGCTGCTCTCTTCACAAATACGTCAAAGGGCAATGTCCTGAAATGAAAATCAGGAAAAAAAATATTCATCAGGCGCAAATAAAAGAACCCAATTTAACTCTCAAGGTAATTTCGGTTATCGGTACCCCAACTGTATCGTTACCTCAGAAATAAAGTACTCTGCATGTCTGGGTTCAGCCGCTCTCTTCACAAATACATCAAAGGGCAATGTCCTGAAATGAAATCAGGAAAAAACTATTCATCAGGCGCAAATAAAAGAACCCAACAATGTATTTCACATGGAAAGGAACAGTTTTGGGGGGGTTAAACACCAAGATGGTACCACGACTCGCTCCAGAACCCCCCGCTTCGATTCCATGTGAAGCAGAACCCTTCGGATCTAAATCCTATCGATCAACGCAGCAGTCCTAAACACAGTTAAGTCCTACAAGTTACCGCTTCACTGATTTATGGCTTAATTTATCTAATTCACTTATACTGCACCTTTCTACTTAATTCTACTTAATGTCAGCCCAAAGCGGCTGACAACATTTTCCTCTCCTCCATTTTACCCTCACAACAGCCCTGTGAGGTAGGTTAGGCGGAGAGAGTATGACCAGCCCAAGGTCACCCAGCAAGCTTCCATGACAGGGTGGGGGTTCAAACCCGGGTCTCCCAGAACCTAGTCCAACACTTTAGCCACACTGCATCGTTTTAAACTTTGCACACTGTTACTGTTTTTATGTTTCTTTTACGACACTCCAGTGGGACTTAACTTTCCAAGTATATTTGCAGAGGGTCTGATTGTTAGTCCCACTAACCAACCCAGAACTAGCTGGTGGCCTTAATTTCCACTTGCACCCAGCACAGAATTAATTCCATTTACGTAGACCGCTGATTCATTATGCGCACGGGGTGTGAGCCAGCGTACAGGCTGTCCTCGCTGGGGGGTTTAGACTGGTCACAGTCTAGACAAGAGGAAAGAAGCTGGAGAGGTCAGCAAAGGAATTTTCACGGGCAAATGGTAGAAGACAACTGGGTGTCCCGAATTCGGTCAGTCCCATCGTCCAATTTGGGTTCAACGGAAAAAGAGGCACAATGGAAGAAGAGGCACAGCCACAGAGAAACAAAACAGGTCTGCAAATCCAAGGGGGAACATTCAACAATTGGGTTTTAGAAAACAGTCCCAACTAATTGAGGAGATGTTATGGTGGCCCTGTGCTAGCCAACACCGATGCCAAATAAATAATTATTCTTTAAAAAAAAATCTGCCTCCTCCCTTTTAGAAATCTGGGGGGGGGGTGCCATTGACACTTTGGAAAACTCTTAGCCTTGATTCTTTTCGGGCCAAGTGTGTGTGTGTTTGTGTGTGTAAAGTGCAATCAAGTCGCAGCTGACATATGCGATCCTGTAGAGTTTTCAAGGCAAGGGACATTCAGAGGTGGTTTTGCCATTGCCTGACTCTGGGTGCGTTCAGATGGGGCATTTACAACGGTATATGTGCCGGTTGGAATCGGTGTACTTACCGGCGTTCACAAGTAGAACATCTGCCTTCCATCCCTAACCATTGCAAAGAGCTTTAAACCGTTGTATTCTGCCACTAGGTCCCCAAGTGGTGGTATCCTGAGTACACCGGTTGTAACTGCTTTACCCCCCCCCCATCTGATCACTCTCCACCGTTGTAAAGCCACTTCCGTTCGGAAGCCCGAGGGTTCCGCTTTTCGCCCGCCATTTTTTTTGTTAGGTCGGCGATATGCACTTGGACAAAGCTTCGCCCACCGTTTGTTTTTAAAAAAAGAAAAAGGTCCTTAGTTTAAGGTTTTAGAGGAGTCTGGGACCTCAGGGAGGCCAGTTTGCTCTTTAAACTTTAAAGGTAAGTCCTCTCTTCAGGGCATGCTTTTCGGGACGGGGTGTTTTGCGCATGCGCGAAGATCGCCATTCTGTGGATGGCTGCCTATCCGCATGCGCAAACTGAGTAAAAAACCAAAAAAAACCCCACCAACACCCGCTGTGTGTGAACGGGCATACAGCGATGGGCTCCACAGACAGGAGGTAAGTGTGATCGCGTTTATGCCAGCCGAAACGCCCCGTCTGAACGTACCCTTTGTGTCGCAACCCTGGGCTTCCTTGTTGGTCTCTCACCCAAGTACTCACCAGGACGGATCCAGCTTAGCTTCCGAGATCCGACAAGATCGGGCTATCCTGGTCTATTACCAATCAGATAAACACTGATATCCCCTCAACTGCTCTAAAACATAAAATATGTATTGCTGATATATCATTTCAGTATGTGCTTTAAGAAGATTATACTTTTAAGAATATCAGTATTTCAAGGATTATTTTTTGGCGAAGATCTGTCTTTCAAGATGCCACAAAAGGTTCAGAAATTTGTACAGATTTGGGATGTGATGCCTCTCGTACTCAAAAATCACCAAATAAGAATCTAATTTAGAGTCACTAAAATAAAACAGATAGGCAAAAGGACCCAAAGATACAGATGGGGCCCTAGGTCGATGAAGAAATTCGAAGTACCTTAATTTCAAGATTATGTTATTTGACAAAGAACATAAGAAGAGCCCTGCTGGATCAGACCAGTGGTCCATCCAGTCCAGCATCCCGTCTCACACAGTGGCCAACCAGTTCCTCTGGAGGGCCAACAACAGGGCAGAGAGGCCGAGGCCTTCATAAGAACATCAGAAGAGCCCTGCTGGATCAGACCAGTGGTCCATCCAGTCCAGCATCCCGTCTCACACAGTGGCCAACCAGTTCCTCTGGAGGGCCAACAACAGGGCAGAGAGGCCGAGGCCTTCATAAGAACATCAGAAGAGCCCTGCTGGATCAGACCAGTGGTCCATCCAGTCCAGCATCCCATCTCACACAGTGGCCAACCAGCTCCTCTGGAGGGCCAACAACAGGGCACAGAGGCCGAGGCCTTCCCCTGATGTTGCCTCCTGACTCTGGGATTCAGAGGATTGATGCCTCTGAATGTGAAGCTACTGGCCACCCTTCTCCCCAATGGGAACCCACAGCGGTTTACATCATTCTCCTCTCCTCCATTTTCTCCTCACAACAAGCCTGTGAGGTAGGCTAGGCTGTTTCATTGACTGGCCCAAGGTCACTCAGCAAGCTTCCATGTACGAGTGGGGATTGGAATCTGGGTCCTCCAGATACTAGTCCAACACTCTTAACCACCACACCACACAAGGGAGGAGGGAGATCTGTTCAATATCAGGACCAGAGGTAGAACACAGAGTTGGTTCCACAGGTTTTATAACTATCGATCATTCTCTTATTGTTTTTGTTTTTAAAATGCTAAGCATTCTTTTTCTTAAATAAAACAGGTTAACGTATAGCTGAAATGAGTTAACTATTCTTACCAGGAAATCAGACATTTTCTACAATGCAAACACGTCGAATTTTAAATACGTGCCCTGCACCAAACTGCAGAATGGTGTCAAGGAACTGCCCCTGTATCCTAATAACATTGCCGTGCAGTTTCTCTTCACAGCATTGCACTGTAAAACTTGTACGGCTGAGCAAGATGGTAACCAAAATCTGGAGCCCCCTTTTGGAAAGGAAAAGAATTAATCCCGAATAAAGCCCCAATCACAAGTACAGAATCTCTAGATCAGGAGTGTCAAACTCATTTGTTATGAGGGCCGGATCTGACATGAGACCTTGTTGGGCCGGGCCACGTGTGTCATAAAATGTAATGCCAGGTAGCGGAGATAGAAACTTTATAAAGGACACAAACACAAAGGGGTGGGGTGTTTTGTTTTTTTTACTGAAAATAAAACCATGCTTAAAACACTAGCACTCTTGCAATATTTTGTTTATTTAACAGTGTCTGATAACGGACACCTCTTGCTCTGAATTACTGCATCAAAATGTCTGTGCTGTTGCAATCTTTTGAGTATGCTGTTCAGGTGTGTGTCTGTAAGCTGCAAATCTATGATGACGCAGCAGCAGCAGAACTGGAAGAGGAAGCAGAAGACAGCCAGTTCCACTGCGGGCCTGATAGAAGCCCCCCGGGGGCCTGATCCAGCCCCTGGGCCGCATGTTTGACACCCCTGCTCTAGATGTTTGCCGTGTACCACTAAAACAGAATAAAGGCTTGGAATGAAATACCTATACACAAAGTTCTTACTGAGGAAATCCATCTGCGGCCCAGCGGAGACATGAACTTTGACTTCTTTATTTCCTACCGCTTGACTAAGGTAATCCACGGTCCATTTGGCTGTGCAGGGGCCCAGATCTATTCCTGTCAGGACTGCTGGCTTTCTCTGAGAAGGGGAGGGAAAGAACAGAATTACTGCATCATAGACCTTCATTGCCTTTGCCTGTCTCTTGACCCATGCACTATTCCTACCTGTGATCAGTCCAGTACTTAATTGATCTATCAGCCGTTCCTACATTAACTACCCGAAGGAGTCTCAGAGCGGCTTAAGATCTCCTTTCCCTTCCCCCTCCCCACAACAGACACCCTGGGAGGTAGGTGGGGCTGAGAGAGCTCTGTCGAGAACTGCCCTTGAGAGAACAGCTCTGAGAGTGCTTGTGACTGACCCAAGATCACACCAGCAGGTGCAAGTGGAGGAGTGGGGAATCAAACCCGGTTCTCCCAGATTAGAGTCCGCGCACTTAACCACTACACCAAACTGGCTCGTATACCAATGTCTATCTGGACAGGGTCTCCTTATGTCCACAAAAACTTACAGTCGAATGCAATCTGCTCAGTCTTTAAAATGCAACTTATTCCCAAGGGACAGTCTGTGCAACAGATATAAATAGGAGTTTCACAACACCTTAAAGATAAGCAAAAAAACCCGTTTATTCCACCAGAAGCCCTGGTGGACTAGAGTCCACTTCTACCGATGCAAGGAGGGCATCTGCAATAAAAATTCCTGCCTATGGTGGATCTAGGGTTGCCAGCCTCCAGGTGGGGCCTGGGGATCTCCTGCTTTTACAACTCATCTCCAGCTGACAGAGATCAGCTCCCCTGGAGAAAATGGCTGCGTCAAAGGGTGGACTCTATGGCATGGTACCATGCTGTGGCCCCTCCCCTCCCCAAACCACGCCCTCTCCTGGATCCACCCCCAAAGTCTCTAGGTATTTTCCAACCCAGACCTGGCAACCCTAGGTGGATCCCCTCCTTGCACAGGAAGGAGGGGGTTCTAGTCCAGGGAAGCGTCCGCTTGGTCAGATACCACAAGACTCCAGGCCTATGGCCAGCGGCCAGGTAACAGCATAGGACTTCTAACCTCCAGGTGGCACCTGGAGATGCCCTACTCTTGCAAATGGTCTACAGAGGTTGAAGATTAGATCCCCTGGAGAAAACGGCAGCTTTGGAGAGTGGACTGTGGGGCATTATACCTGGCTGAAGCCCCGCCCTTCCCCAGGCTCCACCCCAAAAAAAATATCCCGGAATCTCCCACCCCAGAGCTGGCAACCATAACAGACTGTATGATCCTGTTCTACAACGGTAAGAGGCTTCTCCTACCAGTGGGTAGATCTCTCGCAGGAAGCGCTCCCGGGTGACTCCGGCGTACTGAGCCAGGGGGACGACCGGCTGACTCTCGCCCATTTCCTCCGCGGCGCTC